TAATAATTACATTATCATGCAATTTTATTTATAACATTACAATAAAATTACAAACAGAATAATAAAATTCGCTTAAAATATAACAATAATTGTATTACAGTAACATTAATTATTAATACATGATTAAAATAATTATAACAACAAGTTAATAATCATAGTTTACTCATGTACACTAAAAAGGAATTAATCTATATATCAAATTGAATTTGAACATTTTAAACGTATAGAATTGTTCATTATGCAATTCTAAATCAATCTAGACAATAAAATTCTGCCAATGGGCATGTAATATAATTTAAATTCATTAAATAAGATTGCAGAATTGCATTAAAAGTTTTAAGTTTAGCGCTTATATAGAGCACACTATCCATTCATATGGTGAGTATTGACCTTACTCATTTACAAAATACAATCATTATATACTTATAATGTTCAATATATTATGTCAATTAATATAAATTAAAATTTAATGTAAAATATATAAAAATTATATGATTAAAAAATTATCTAGGTCACGTTATTTATACAAAAAAAACCCTTATTTACATATATTTAAATGATTATAAAATGACAAAATTATAACATTTTATTAAAATGTCATTAATTAACGTAAAAATTATAATTAGTTTATTAACCAATGTAATAAATGGAAAAACAATTAAAACAAATGATAAATTATTTAATATTGTGGAGCAATCTCTGAAATTTATTGATGATTTGGTGGTTAATTATAATAACGATTTGGACCATAATCAATATTACGATACCAATAGTGATGAATATAATGATGATAATACTTTCAATATTTTTAATGAAATAACATCAAACAACAAAAAACATTAGATTATGATGATATAATCTATATTGCAAATTACATCAAGAACAATCCAACACATGGTTTTTCTACAGTGAAATCTTACCGTAGAAAATGTACCACTATTGATTTATTTTATAAAATTAAAAATTTTGTGAAAAACAATTTTATTGGATTTAATGGCTATAAAAATGAATATATAAAAAAACATTTATATATTGAATTTATTGATTATCGTAATAATTTTAAACATATGAGTGATAATATATTAAAGTTAATATCGATTAAAATTGCTCGTGAATTAAATTATATGTCATTCAAAGCAAGTGAAAAATTTATATATTTATTTAAGCGTAAATATAATATTGGTTCGCGTAGAGTGACCAAGTTTGTCACAAAAAAATCACTACTAAATCAAGAATTAATTAACAATGATATTAAAACATTCCGAAATAATTTTCTAAATGACTATAACAAGAAATATAATCATGGACTAATATTTAATTCTGATCAAACTGGATTTCACAAAGAAATTGTCCCTAAAAGGACCTTGGACATCAAAGGTCAACATGATACATATCTTTTAATACAAAATAAGATGGCAATGACCCACTCGTACACTATTATGCCAACAATAATCATGTGCGGGAAAATATATGGTAAAATTTTTATTGTTTTGCAAGAAGTTAACGGAATATTTGGAAAGAATATTCTTAAAAAAGTGCAAGAATTGGAAGAAAAATACAAAAATGTAAAAGTTTTTTGCAGTAAAAGCGGGAAAATGGATAAGAAATTGTGTAACATATGGGCAAAGCAGTTAATTGACCCGGAATATTTTAATAAATATAGTCATTCTGGTGAAAAACCAAATGTATTGTTATGTATGGACTCATATTCACCACATTGGAATCCTGAATTTGACAATAGTTTTAATCAAGATTGTATTAATTTAGAAAAATTACAAATTCCCAAAAATACAACACAATTTTTACAGCCATTAGACATAGATTTTAATCACGAATTAAAATTTTTTGCTAACAAAATAACTAATAAAATAATATTAAATGATTATAATATTAAAGTATATGATAGGGCTAATATTATTAAAATGTGGTCTATTATTTGGGAACAATTATCTAGTGATAAATTTTGTGATATGATTAGACATAATTTTGAAAAAGCATATTTTGATAATCGTATAGATTATAAAAATGTTAAGGATATCAGTTTTGAAACTAATTATAAATGTTGTGAATCTATTAATTGTAATAATATATTTTTTATTAGATGTGCCTTATGTGATAAAATATTATGTTTTAAACACTTTTACGTTGATCACCACACTCATTTATAAATGATATTAATGTATTTAAATTTAAAATAAAAATATAATGATTTATTTAATGAATTAAAATAATAATAAAAATTTAATGAACAATACATGATTATTATGAGTATTTTGTAAATGAGTAAGGTCAATACTCATCATATGGATGGACAGTGTGCTTAATATAAGCGCTAAAATCAAAAGTTTTAATGCAATTCTGTAATCGTATATAATTAATTTAAATTATATTAAATGCCCATTGGCAGAATTTTATCATCTCGGTTGATTTAGAACTGCATAATGAACAATTCTATACATTTAAAATGTTCAAATTCAATTTGATATATAGATTAATTCCTTTTTAGTGTATTAGTATCTCAATGTTCAAGGTTCATTTAACTAGTAGAAATCAAATCAACACTCACTTTGATTGTGCCTTTGGTGCCGACAATATGCGCCTCACAGGGCAGGTTCACCCGAGCGCTGGTCGCTATGTTGGCCGTACGGCCGTCGCTATACTTAAACACCGCCGACACGCTCTCGTCCACTCCATATTGGTTCAAATGGCCCACAGCTTTCACCTCCAGGGGCTGCTCATCACCAAAAGCCATGAGCACCACATTCAGTGTGTATATACCGATATCCATAAACGTGCCACCACCTAGAGCTTTCCGGGCCAGTTTGGCCTTGTCCGCCACAGCCTTACCAAAAGTCACGTCAACGTGATAAACCTGGCCAATCGCACCAGTTTTAATGGCGTTCATAACAAAATCGTACGAGGGCAAAAATCTGGACCACAGGGCCTCCATGAGAAACAGGTTGTGGCGCCGGGCGGTAGCGATCAGCTCCTCACTGCCCTTCTCGTTGAGTGTTAGTGGCTTTTCTACCAACACGTGTTTGCCGTGCGATAGCACCAGTTTGACAGTTGCCAAGTGGTGTGGGTTAATGGCGCCCACGTAAACCACCTCGACGTCCGGGTCCCGCACCAACTCATCGTACGTGCCGTACGCTTTGGGTATGCCGTGAATGCGGGCAAACTCTTGGGCCGATTTCAGGTCACGGGCCGCCACAGCGACCAACTATTTTGGTGTTGAATTATATGATTAATTACAGTGGTTTAGCATAGAATAGTCTAGCTTATTTTATCAATTATGTGTGCATGATAATTTTGTATATATTCTAAATGTGTTTTAAACATTTTCAATAGTAATAGGAAAATTATTTTATTTTAACAGGCGTTTACACTGATTGAGTATAATAGACTGTATTTATCTATTGATTGAAATGACATTGATAACTTTTATTAAGTTAGATAAACATACAGAACCTGGTGTTCATCCGATGGCAATATCCTGAGGGCTGAGACAAAGTCGTGACAGATTCTGCCGGCGCTTAATATACCCCAACGCGTGGCCATTGGTTTCGCTGATTATAATGTGTTGTTAATTACTGTTTGGAAATAAACTATAAAGCAAAGTAGAAACAAGTTTAATTATTAATATTTTTAACTTATAATGGTTATAAAAATATTTATAAAAATATTAATATGTAAACGTATTTATTATTACTACAAAATAAGTATTATGACAATTATTTTCACCTTTGTTAATTAATTCTTTCCATTCAACACTTTTGTGTATTAATTAAATAAAATATAAATAACAAAAATAATAAATTTATTTTTAATTAAATACCAAGTAACATACCAAACATACAACAAACAAGTAGCTAAATTAAATATAAATAATATATTTGGGTACAAATATTCTTAATTGAGAAGCAAAGTTATTATATTCAAAATGTACATGTTATCAAGAATATCCAATTGAACCCTTGATGTCCATGGTGTATTTTTAAAAGTAAACTTCCACTTTGGTTGCGATGATTTTTGTTTTGATTTCTACGCCCTTTCGATGTTATTCGTTAAATACCTCTATTGTTAG